CAGTTTTCTGTCCATAATTTACATTTAAAAAGTGAAATAATTATATATCATTTCTTTTGTTTAAAAGAATCACGATTGTGTAATTTAAGAAATGGTATTTGTTTTTTGTTTATTTATTACATTTTTCAGGTCAACGTTGAGATGATTAGTTTTGCTTTCCACCTTCTCCTTAACAAGTTTTGCTTATAATCTCTTTGGATCTCTAGGTTCTTACTTTTATTATCGATATTTTCCTACTGCTGCAGATGAACTACTTACGATACCAACATCATTAGGATATCCTATCAAATATTTCGCTCATATTGTAAAAACCAAATCATCCCTCCATTCATTTATCGATCGACTGTCGTTCCAAAGTTGTTACTTGACACGTCAGGAAAGACGCAATGAGCAATTATGAATTCTCTAATGTTACCAACATAAATTTACATGACAAAATCATGATGTTAATAGAGAAAATCACAGTCAAAGATATTCAGAAATGTTGGAAAACTAATTCAAAGTTGTAGTAGGAAACCTTAGTTATTTAGGATTTGGTTTATTTAATTCATGTCTAAACATGATTTGCAGTTAGAATAAATATAGGAATAGGCTTTCATGTTTCTAGTTGACATAGGTTTCATACTATTATAAATAGGGGTATTGATAACTTATTTTGTGCGTGGAGGAAATAAAGAATTGTAGAGATCAATCAGAGATTTTAATAAAATATTTTCTTTCATATTAGTATCAGAGCTTCTACGATCTTCAGAGAGAATCAAGTAGCTTCCGCTGCCGGCGGGTGGCGCTAGCCAAACTTGCCGCCCGTCTGGCCAAAAAAATATGCTGGCAAAATCATAAATAGTTGTCAACAGAATTAGCCTATTCGATGAAAAGTTTCAAGACAGATTCATGAAAAAAAATAAGTTTAAAGAGGTACAAATAAATATGGCACAAGAGGAAGAAACTCTTCTCTAAAAGTTGGAGAGAGGTTTAAAAAAGTTGGAAGTTGATACATGCTTCAACAAAATTGAGTGTTGGTGACAAAGTGCATCAACGTGAGTTAGAGACAGGTGCTTCAATAAATTTGGGTGTTGATGACAAAGTGCATCAACGGTTGGTGACAAAGTGCCTATCAACGGGAGTTGAAGACAGGTGCTTCAACAAAATCGGGTGTTGGTGACAAAGTACATCAATGTGAGTTGGAGACATGTGCTTCAACAAAAATTGAGTGTTGGTGATAAAGTGCATCAACGGTTGGTGACAAAGTGCATCAAATTTGGAAATAGGTGCTCCACCAAATTGAGGGATGAAGACATGTGCTTCGTCAAAAGTGAAAGTTGGAGAGAAGTGCTCCAGCATAACTGCACAACGAACAAGTCAGACGTATACAACTTTGAATTACGGGAGAATATTGGAAAATTAATTCAAAGTTGTAATAGGAAACCTTAGTTATTTAGGATTTGGTTTATTTAATTCATGTCTAAATATAATTTGCAGTTAGAATAAATATAGGAATAGGCTTTCCTGTTTCTAGTTGACATAGATTTCATACTATTATAAATAGGGATATTGATAGTTTATTTGTGCATGAAAAAAATTAAGAATTATAGAGATCTTTGAGAGATTTATACTAGAATATTATTCCTTCAAGAAAGCCAAGAAGAAAATTGTGGAACATCTAACTTGTCCGCATCTTAGAAAATTAGAAGAGGATGATTGCTTATATTAAAGTTTAGTTGTTCTTTGTTGGGTACACTTTTCGTGTTGTAAATCTGTTTAGCTCTTATTTTAAAGGTTTAAATTAGATACCTATATTTTGGCCGGTTATATAGAACTGAATGTTGGCCGGTAAAGAACTCACACACCCGGAAGATGAAAGTAGCAGAGATGAGGATGTTGAGGTGGATGTGCGGGCATACAAGGATGGATAAGATTAGGAATGAAGATATTCGAGAGAAGGTGGGCGTGGCCCCCATGGAGGACAAGATGCGGGAAGTAAGACTCAGATGGTTCGGGCACATTCAGAGGAGGAGCACTGATGCACCGGTGAGGAGGTGTGAGCGACTGGCTGTAGTGGGCACGCGGAGAGGTAGAGGGCGACCTAAGAAGTATTGGGGACAGGTGATCAGCCAGGACATGACGCGACTTAGGATTACTGAGGACATGGCCCTTGACAGGGAGTTATGGAGGTCGAGCATTAAGGTTGTAGGTTAAGGGAAAGTTGTGACTATTTCTACAGCACAATAGAGTGAGACTAGCTAGTTAGGAGTTAGACTAAGAATATAATTGGTCGTCTATTGATACAGGGCTTTACCTGCTAGTTTTACTATACCAGCCATTTATTTCGTATTTCGTATTTCATATCTCTTATATTGTTGTTATTGTATTATGCATTTTTATGGTACTAATATATCGGCTCCTGTTGCTTTTTTGAGCCGAGGGTCTCCTGGAAACAGCCTCTCTACCCTTCGGGGTAGGGGTAAGGTCTGCGTACATATTACCCTCCCCAGACCCCACTTGTGGGATTATACTGGGTNTAGGGGTAAGGTCTGCGTACATATTACCCTCCCCAGACCTCACTTGTGGGATTATACTGGGTCGTTGTTGTTGTTGTTGTAGATACCTATATTTTGTTGCAATCCATGGCCAAGTAGGACTTTTTTTTTTTTGGAAAATTTACCGGATGTGTGTACGGGGTAACTTGTTTATTGTGTGCAACAACTCGCAAACTACATAGGAAATATAAACTACACTAGACATATCCTATGCGATGAGCTCTGAGGAGGCTGCTGGCGAGGAGAATCAATCCTAGGTCTCCAATACAGAAATGACGCATCCAACCAACAGACAAATTACTTTAGCCAGATAACAGTATTCAGACAATATAACTGGTTTATAAGTTCTACTCAATTATGGGGCTAGTACTAGTGAGTTTGGGCAGCTAAGTCCACGATTTTATGGCTTTTGAGTAGTAGTCCCAACTCTCATCATTGATCCATGATCCAATTAATCGTATTTTTCAACTTATTTAATACTCTTTATAACTCTATATTAGTCTACGTCCCCTTCGTCGGTAAAAATTGCACGATGCGCCTTATTTGGTTGTCATATACCTATCTTTTTTAAAAACTTTTAACTTGTATCTACTTTTTAAATAACTTCAGCCCCCTTTCTCCTCCTCCTTCTCCTCCTCAAAGTTATATCCGCCTCTTCTTTCTCAAACTTTTCCTTCTCCCTTTTCTGCAAGAAATCTGTTACGGCTATGCATAAATTTGACTATAGTTAAAACCACTAATACATCTCTGTACAAAAGTACCAGAAATTTGCCGTTGAGATCAGTTAAGTTCGTTGGTTTTGCCATCATCTCTTCTTTCACAAGTGAACAGATGTAGTTAAATGTCTTCCTTGAAAGTTTGAACAAAGATTCAAATGTACCTGAATTTCCTTTCTGTACTGAAGTCCCTGAGAAGCAACAAACAGAAAGAGGTCATATTTCATCATTGGTTGTAAATTTGCTGAGACTAAAGAGGTTTAAGTTTTCGGCCTTTTTTCTGAAACTGTTTGCAACCAGGACGACATTTCTCTTAAAAATTGTCCAATTGATCTTTTGATATCATATATTGGAAGAGCAAAGCTTAGAAGTTCGTCAGTTACAAAAACAAAAACTTCAGCTCTCGCCGGTTACAAAAACAAAAACTTCAGCTTTAGAGCTGAAGCTTACAAACAAAAAGCCAGTTACAAACAAAAACTTCAGCTCTAGAGCTGAAGTTCGACAGTTACAAAACAAAACTTCAGCTCTAGAGCTGAAGCTTACAAACAAAAGCCCAGTTACAAACAAAAACTTCAGCTCTAGAGCTAAAGTTTGACAGTTACAAAACAAAAACTTCAGCTCTAGAGCTAAAGTTTGACAGTTACAAAACAAAAACTTCAGCTCTAGAGCTGAATCTTACAAACAAAAACTTCAGCTCTAGAGCTGAAGTTCGCCAGTTACAAACAAAAACTTCAACTCGACAGTTACAAAACAAAAAACTTCAGCACTAGAGCTGAACTTCAGGCCCGGCTACTAGAATGCTGAAGTTTTGCGTGATTGTCTTTGCTACTTCAGCCCCGTATGCTGAATTATGCGAAAAAGCGGGTACGCTTGCAATTTTTTTTGCAAAGCGGGCACAAGTTAAAGCGTGACACAAAAAGCAAGTATAGATGCAAATGCCCCATTCGTCGGTCATGATTAACAATCTCCATCGACATTTATCGAAAATCGGTGATTAATATTTTGCGTATATAATGGTCAAGATTAAAGTCATGATTACATCTTAAGTTATATACATCGATGATGATTAGCATAATTAAACATGTTATATTATTATATTAGTATTACTTTATATTTCGAGTTATCAGATCAGGTTTGTTATAAACAGTTAGTACTTGCTATTCCAAGCAACTTAACCCGATGGTACATAAATATTAATAACGCATTTTCCATGCATAGAACTTGATATTGATCTACAAACACAGTACGATTTTAATAGTTTTAGTGAAAAATGGTTAATCATATTTAAATGACTTTAAATTGATCTTGCATCTCTACCCTTCTTAACTTCCTACCATACTTCATTATTCCTCTTAAATTTCCTACCTGGAAGAAATTACACCTCCATCTAAACAAAATATCTTCTTTTCTTTTTTGAGTTATGATCCAGGAAATATTCACAATACTAAGGGTGTGTTTCGTATGAAAACAATGTTCAGTGTTTTAATTTCGATTTCCCTGTGTTTGGTTGGTCAAATATTTTCTCTAAACAAGTTGCTTAAAAATTAGAAAAATAATTAACTTCCCTAATGGGAGTAGCCGAGTAGGGATCGGAAAACAACTCCCATAATTAGTTGATTGTCTCTTCCACAGTACCCTAAGAATAGAATAGTTATGAAATCTCAAGATCCTTAAATTTGTGCCGGGCGAAGCTAATAATTTTACTAAGGAGTGTCCAAATATAAAATAGTGAACACACAGAAGAAAATAAGGGGAGTCAACATATAATATATGTACATAAAATAAATTTTTGACCTTAGCTTAGGTGGCTCCTCCACTGCTTGTGCCATTGAATTTTTTTTAGATATCCGTGGAGCTGTGATGGAGCTTATTTTTAACTTCTTAGAAAAGTTACATAAAGTTTATAATTTGAACTATGTTAACTTAAAAATTCATACATCTATGGACTTCGTCCACATGAAGTTACAATACTGATAATTAAGTTACAACAGAAAATGTATATTAATATTAAGTGAATATCATAGGAAGTCCCATAAGTTCTTCAACTTGACCAGCATTTTCTTCTAGCAACCACTTCTCAAGATATGTGAATGGAGGAGGAGTATTAGTATTCATTGTCTTTTCAGCAACTCCACTGCTTTCACAAGCTGAAATAACAGACTTGTATTCTCTTGGAATTGTTTTAATACTGTTGCTAATTCCTTCATCCTGAACCAGAGAAGTTTCACAACTTATAAATAGGTCTTGATCATCTTGGTTATGTTGATTTTCATGAAAGATCATTTCATTAATCTTTGTAGAAGGATTTGGAGAAGATCTCATCCATCCTTCTAAAAGTCTTGAAATATTCTCTGTACTTGAAGCATACAAGGAAGAGGAAGAATTTGGAGAGTTGTGGTTCTGTTGTAGTAATAACTTTGAGCCTTGCTTATTATTGTCACTCATGAAATGCCATGAGAAATGATCACAAGTGGTAGAATCTGCAGGAGGAGGAGAAGTCAAATGTGAATCCAAACCTGTTTGGAATTTCTTGAGCTTTTTCTTTAGATGAGTGTTCCAATAGTTCTTTATGTCATTGTCCGTCCTTTGTGGAAGATATGATGCTATGGCTGCCCATCTGTACAAATATCAATCATATAAAAACTTTAAAACATGTATTTTTGAAAATATTCAGAATGGTGTATTTATATCTTAATCTTTTGTTTCTCTTTTAGTTGTACAACAATAACTACTACTACAGACGTTTCCAGCAAGTTGAGTCAGCTATATGAATATTCACTATCCTTTTCCTTCGTTTATGCTCGTCTTTATTACTGGTTATTGTTATTATTTTTCCATCTATTCTTTGTCTCTTACAATGCTGATATTATCTTTCTGATTTCTGTTGTTGTTGCGGATTCATTATCTCCTTTTCGCCTTCTTGAGCCGAGGGTCTTTTAAAAATAACCTATCTACTCCTCCGGAGTATGAGTAAGGTCTGCGTACACTCTACCCTCCACAGACCCTACTTGTAGGATTTTACTGGATTGTTGTTGTTATGTTCGTCTTTAGGTTTTTTCTTTTAGTTGTGCGATTAAGAAAACAATGTAGAGTTAGAAGGAAGGAAATATAATTACTATATAAGGAGGTGAACATTACTTGTTACCCAATAAAGCTTGAAGATGGACAATCATTCCTTCTTCATGTGGAGTGAAATTACCCCTTTTGATTCCTGGCCTCAAGTAATTTGTCCACCTTAGCCTGCAACTTTTGCTGCACCTCATCAACCCTTTAAAAAACAAAGAAATTTCTTCATTATACATGTATTTAACAAGGAAAAAATTTGTAAGGTTCAAAATATAAAGTGAATATATTACCAGTATTAGTAGGGACTGATCTCCAATTTCCAGGACCATGTTCTTGAATATAAGAGACCAAAACAATATCTTCTTCAGGAGTCCAAGGACCTTTCTTTATACCTATTTTGTCACAACAAGGAGGCCTTCCCATTTCTCTCTAGTTGGTGTGTGTGGAGGGGTTATTTGTTGTATGAAGTTTTTGAAGTGAAAATGGTGGTGTTTAAATAAAGGGAGGTGATAGTAGGAAAAAGAAGAAGGTCTTTAATTCTCTCATTGTGTTGAATTGCTGGACAGAGGGTGACACACATAGGTGTTCCTGTGTCCTTTTGTGGCACTTAAATGTTAAAGAGTTAAAAATACTTGAAGTAAGAAGGTGTTGAATTTACGAGCTCACTTTTTCTCTTTGGGGTCACATGGCTTATCAGCTCTTCACATCTGTCATATACTTTATATACCAGAGGGGGGGG